CAGCATATCGAAGATCTATATTCGTATATCGCGATGGTGCTGTTCGTATCAGATACTTTGGTTATCTGTTGCTTAGGTTTTACAATTGTCGCGGTAAGATATTTTGATTAATTCTGCGGTTAAGAGAAATATATACTACAGAACCTGCTTTGATAAATCTGCAGAATAAGATATATTTATTCGCGTACTTTTGATTATTCATCATTTTATGACTTTTCCCTTGCTCTTAGAATGTTTCTTAAAATTGTAGTCGATTGGTCGACCCGATGCTTTCAACAGTATAATCAAGAATACCTTATTTTACTTCATTATGAATTCGGAAGCGTTCGTATTTTGTTTCGCTGGAGAATATTTAAGCACTAAGGTTAGCCATTGGGACTAATGTTATACATATACATAAACAATAAGTAAGCAGAATGTTACATAATTGTTTCGAAAAGATACAAGATCCATCATTCAATAGAGTAAAAGCATTGGAGATGCTGCATACGATTCCTTCTGGTATGAATTAGATTCCAAAGATAGTCGAAATATATTGCTCTTAATATTGAGATCGCAAAATCAATTAACCATTACAATTGGAAAGATAATGAATTTATCTCTAGAGCAATTTAGCAATGTAAGTTTTATCTTAGGTTTGTTTTGCACGCAAAATTTTTATTGATTTTATATTATTTTATTTTATATTAAAATTGTTTTGCCATAATTATCCAGAATTAATAAGAAATGGAAAATATGTTATTTCTTCTTAAAATATAGAATATTACTACCAATTAATTTTTGGTAATGTACTATATATTTTTTTATTCAATATTTGTATTTTTATATATTTATTTTACATAATAAAAAATTATATTTGCTGCAATATTCACCTTACTAAATTATTAAGTCGAGTTATTTTGTTATATTATTAAAATGAGTCAGATAACAAATGCTTTTTACATTGAATTTAAGTATTTATAAATTCTGCATTAATATTTTTCTAATAATCAAATGATACTGTTACAGATTATAAAGACTTCGGCTTCTTACATATCGATTCTACTTGCGATGTATTAAAGCAAAACTGCATTCTATTTACATCGACATTTGAATAAGAATTAATAGCTGGTTTAGTTGCAATAAAATTTGCATATAATTTGCTATATTACTTATCATTGTTTTTTATGTCGGCGATGAACTGAATATTAAGATCAATCTCTATAATATTATGATTGTATAATATTATTCTGGTAATGTTTAGCAGAGTAGCATGAGATAATAATAGTATAATAGTTATTAAAAGAGTAATAAAAGTATCACAGTGTAATAACAAGATTAAAAATATTATTATTATTAATATTTTATGTGTTTACATAATATTGATATTTGTTTGTAACAATTCCATCAATTCATTTTGTTTTAATTTGTAACATAAAATATCTACAAAAATATTACAAAAAAAATGCCCTTTTCGCATAATCGGATATTTCTTTAAATTTTCGTAATGTACAAACAATATTACGATGCCTAAAAAACAGTCCATATTTAAAAGATTAAGAAAAGCTCTTTATATTTTGTGCAGATGTCGTCTCAAAGCTTATTTTATGTTTGTCGTTTGTTAGGAACGCCTTTGGTACTAAAATATAATACTTCACTTAGCACTTCGTTTCCTCGTCTCTTGCTTCTGGCTTTCTATGTGACGATTATTGTATCTAACGTGCACCGAACTTTTACTCAAAATTCGCGATTTATATATTTCGAGAGAATAAGTTGCTCGATAAGTTGCGAACGCGTGCACAATTCGCCGCACTCACTGTAATGCGCGAGAAAGAATATCTTTCGATATTAAGGAAACAAAATCTTGGTAAGAGAAACTTTCGCCTCTTCCATCTTCCCTCTTTCTCGAAAAATTCTCCCCTACGCACGCAAATACAAAACTTTTACGGTCATTGAACACGGTTCAATGCCTTGTGTATATTCACGCATTATTGCTGTTGCTTGAATTTTTAAAGACAATAATGCAGTGCGCGCTACACCATCGTTTTGCCCAAGAATTTGAGAGGGAGAGGTCGGTCACCCGGAAACTTTTTTTCTCTTCATCGACAATAGTACACGCAATCTATGCACGTCGCGATCAAAATATTTAATAAGCTGTGGCTCCTGGAGGGGTGAGCCCCACTCTCTTGTTTTCTTTCAGTTTGTGCAAAGATACCACATAGTGCACATCGTACGATGGATCAGGTTTCTTCGTAACGTTTCCAAATTTTTTATCGGAATCAACGCATGTTAACGGTGCAAAATAATAGGATAATAACAATAGTAACACAAGTATGAAAGTAAACAATACAGTTAGCAAAGCGATAGAAATTTGTCTACGAATTTTTGGCATCTGGCCGAATACATCGTGCGCTTTATTACGTAGACTCTTCTGGATTGCCACGCTCGTAATTGAGCAAGTCTTTCAATATCGATATATTGTAATGCATTTTTATTTGATCGAGTTTTCCGACAGGATGAAAATTTTAGGTTCAGCCATGGCATATTCGATACTTTTAACTAGACTTCTCATTTTTTGGTATAAGCAACGGTGAGATATAACGGCACGTTATGATACGCACTGTCAATGAAAAATTAGCTTTATGTATTATTTAACTTAATTATATTTAACAATATTATTCAACAACATTCAACATGTTAGTTACATATATTTAGTATTTCGTCTTGATTTATTACTTTAGTCGTTAAGATACACATTTCGCAACTGCTTTGGTTGATAAAATAATTTATTTGGCAATTAAGAATGTAAACATAATAATAATAATGTGAATTAAATACGAATTGCTGAAATAAATAAATTATTGTACGCAAAGAAGATTTAAGCAGAATTGCATTGCTAAAGTGATTGCACAACAATTAATTTTTCATCGATGGTTCGTATAAGGCCTTGTTGCGGCCGTTATTAAAATTATGATCAATGAAAACCTTTCCTAGAACGTTCAACAAAATATTAACAATGATGGCGATCGACTGGGAAAAATGTACCAACTCAAAATTTAGTATGTTAACAACGAAGTGCAATGCCAAACTGTCGCAGCGCTTCACTAACATAACGGTGATTCTCTATTTGACAAATGTAACTCTTTTTAGCAGCAATATCTTCATAAAAGATATGGATGATGTCATAACTTCCAACGTTTCCACACGATCACTCATTATAGACATGGATTTGCCATTTGACGTTAATCGAAGATTCGTATATGAATCGGTCATAATTGTTCAATTTCTTCACATGCTGATATGTGCTAACGGAATGGGATTAATAAATGCTTTACTTATAAATTTGGTGAGTTCTGTTACCTGTTACGCAAAAAGATATTATTATTATTATTATTATGAGTATTATCAATTATTTATAAATATTATTTCTTTAATATTTTATTAATCATAATATTAATTGATTAACGGGGAATGTACATGTGCAAATTTCCTTTCTTATCAAAAATAATTTATTAGCAATTGCGCTTTTCAGATTTTGAAAGATTCTTGTGCAGCGCGTAAATTTAATATGTCATAAACCATATAATATTTTTTCTTGCGACCTTTATTAGTACAGCTGTTGAAAGAAACGTATATTTCAGGTGTTGCATATAAGCGGTCAAATTGATATTCTTCGTAAAAGTGTGTTGGAACTTTTTCCGAAAGAAAATAAGTGCAGTACGAATCGTTCTATGGTAAAAAGAGTAATCAAGAAACACCAGAATATTATCACTTTTTCAGAACATATTGAAGATCTGTACTCGTATATCTCAATGGTGCTTCTCATATCGGATACTTTGCTTATCTGCTGCTTGGGTTTTACAATGGTCACGGTAAGCAATTTTGATTAATTCTACGGTTAAGAGGAATATACAGGGGATACCGGGACGAAGTCGTCACTATCTTTTCGGTGCCGATTTTTAACAACAAAACAAATAATTTTAGTAAAATGTGGTGTACCGTAAATAGTGAACCCTTGGATACAAAATTTATAAGGGCATTTTTGGTCTACGTCGCTTTGTTCAACCGGTATAGAGTAAAAACGACAAAGGTGCAAAAATTGAAATGTCAAAATTGCTAGGGCAGAGTCGTCACTCCATTATATCGGACTGGATTTTAAATAAAAATACATAATTCCGATCATAAAAAATAATAGAATATATTTTATTAATTATTTTTTAATAAAAAAATGGAAACATTTATTAATTAAAAACACGATGGCGGAAAATAATTACAAAAAAAGCGCACGTACTTGTGTGTCTTATGCTCACACGAAATGCACTGTTTCTCGTCAGCTCTGTTCAAATTGCATTGTTGCAATTAAGAAATACAATGACGCATTTGCAACAAAAAATAAAGTGAAACCACCGGGATAAAGTCGTCACAGTGACGAGTCCGTTCCAGTGGCTTGGTGACCATTTCGACCCGGACACAGATTTTAAGTTTGATCGCTCATGAAATATAAATTAACAAAAATAAAAAATTTTCACTGAATTCGTGTTCAGCATGCATTACTCTTCAGAATCAATTATCTCGAGATTCGGAAAGATAATAATATTTAAAATATTTAAAATTTTTGACGCGCAAAAAACTTTACTTTTGACCACTGAAAACACGTTTGCCTTAATGAAAATCACAACATGGCATACAATCTCACTAAACTCCGTTGGTTACATGGGCACCATAAGAAGTGAGTCCCGATTGCGCACATTACAAATCAGAAACGACAATATTTCCCGATTGGACACATTCCCGATCGGGAAATATTGTCGTGTCCGATTTGTTATGTGCGTAATCGGGACAATCTCCACCATAAGTAGCGTTTACTATATTAATAGTGAGTTTACACAACATACAGGTTTCGAGATAACTGTAGTGACGACTCCGCCCCGGTGACGACTTCGCTTTGGTCTCCCCTACTATATGAACCGCGCTGTTAATTCTGCAGAATAGAAGAGTATTAATTCGTGACTTTAATTATTATATATTGTTTTATTACATTTTCTTGGCTCTTTCTTAAAATTCTAGTCGATTGGGCGACCCAATGCTTCAGAAAGTATAATCAGGAATTTCTTATTTTACCTCGCTGTGAATATAGAGGTATTTATATTCTGTTTTGCTGGAGAATACTTGAGCGCTAAGGTTAGATATTGAGACGAATATTGTATATGATAAATATTACAAAATATGTAATTGTTTCTAAGAGATACAAGATCCATTATTTAATAGAGCAAGAGCATTGGAGATGCTGCATACGATTCTCTTTGGTACGAATCAGATTTCAGAGATAGTCGAAATATATTGCTCTTAATATTGAGGTCGCAAAATCAATTAACCATTACAATTGGAAAAATAATGAATTTATCTCTAGAACAATTTACCAATGTAAGTTTTATCGTAGGTTTGAATTGTAAAACTTTTTATATTATTATATTTTATTTTATATATTAAAATTGTTTTGCCATAATTGTCCAAAATTAATAAAAAATAAAAAATATGTTATTTTTTCTTAAAATATAAAATATTACTACCAATTAATTTTGGTAATGTACTATATATTTTTTTATTCAATTTGTATTTTATATTATTTGTATTTTTATATATTTATTTTACATAATAGTTAATTATATTTGGTGCAATATTCACCTTACTAAATTATTAAGTCAAGTTAGATTGTTATATTATTAAAATAAGTCAGATAACAAATACTTTTTACATTAAATTTAAATATATTTATAAATTCTGCATTAATATTCTTATAGTAACCAAATAATACTGTTACAGATTATAAAAACTTCGGCTTCTTACTTATCGATTCTACTTGCGATGTATTAAAACGAAACTGTATCTATTTACATCGACATTTTAATGAGAATTAACAGCTGGTTTAGTTGCAACAAAATTTGCATATGATTTAAAGTAAAAACGTTGCTGCATTACTTTTCGTTCCTTTTTATGCCGGCGATGAACTAAATATTAAGATTAATCTCTATAATATTATGATTGTATAATATTATCCTGATAGGGTTTAGCAGAGTAGCATGAGGTAATAATAGTATAATAGTTATTAAAAGAGTAATAAAAGTATCACAGTGTAATAATAATATTAAAAATATTATTACTATTAATATTTTATGTGTTTACATAATATTGATATTTGTTTGTAATAATTTCATCAATTTGTTTAGCTTCCATCTGTAAAATAAAATATCTACAAAAATATTACAAAATTGCAACAAATGCTCTTTTTGCATAATCGGATATTTCTTTAGATTTTCGTAATGTACAAACAACATTATGATGCCTAAGAAACAGTCCTATTTAAAAAATTAAGAAAAGCTCCTTTGTATTTTGTGATGTCTTCTCAAAGCTTATTTTATGCTCGTCGTTTGTTAGGAACGCCTTTGGTACTGGAATATAATACTTCACTCAGCACTTCGTTTTCCCGTCTCTTGCTTCTGGCTTTCTATTTGACGATTATTGCCTACAACCTGTATCTGACGTGCACCGAACTTTCACTCAAAATTGCGCGATTTATATATTTCGAGAGAATAAGTTGTTCGATAAGTTGTGAACGCGTGCACAATTCGCCACACTCACTGTAATGCGCGAGAAAGAATATCTTTCGATATTAAGGAAACAAAATCTCGGTAAGAGAAACTTTCGCCTCTTCTATCTTCCCTCTTTCTCGAAAAATTCTCCCCTACGCACGCAAATACAAAACTTTTACGGTCATTGAACACGGTTCAATGCCCTGTGTATATTTACGCATTGTTGCTGTTGCTTGAATTTTTAAAGAAAATAATACAGTGCGCTACACCATCATTTTGCTCAAGAATTCGAGAGGGAGAGGTCAGCCACCCGGAAACTTTTTCTCTTTTTCTCTTCTTCGACAATAGTATACGCATACGCAATCTATGCACGTTGCGATCGAAATATTTAATAAGCTTCGGCTCCGGAGAGGAGAAGGGGAGTAAACCCCACTTTGCTCTCTTTACCAAGCTTTCAGTCTGTACAGAGATACCACATTGTGCATATCGTATAGTCGATTAGGTGCTGATCATAACATCGATTAAAGTTCTCTTATCAGAATCGATACACACGTTAACTTTGCAGAACAATAGGAAAATAATAATAAGTGAAATATGAAAGTGGAGAATACAGTTAGTAAAGCGATAGAAATTTGTCTACGAATTTTTGGCATATGGCCGACTACATCGTGCATTTTATTACGTCGACTGTTCTGGATTTTCACGCTCGTAATCGAGCAAGCTCTTCAATATCGATATATCGTAAAGCACTTTTATTTGATCGAGTTTTCCGAGATAATGATTATTTTTAGTATAACAATGGCATACACGATATTCTTATTTAAACTTGTCGTTTTTTGGTATAAGCAGCGGTGAGATACGCAACGGCACGTAGTGATACTATCAGTGAAAAATTTGTTTTAAATATCAGTTAAATTATTTATATTCAATTATAATATTTAACCACATTAATTTTGTTACATACATTTTACATATGTATAACATCTTGATTTAACAATTACTTTAGTCGATACATCAAACTATTTGGTAATTGCTTTGGTCGATAAATTAAATTATTTGGCAAATAAAAACGTGAACATTGTAACAAAGCTAAACTAGGACAAATTGCTGTAATAAATTAAATGTCAAACACAAAGAGAAAATGATCGGACTCGCAAGAGTTATAAGTCAATGTACAACATAAAATTTTTCACCGATGGTTCGTATAACGCTTCATTGCGCTTGTTATCACGACTATGACCAATGATAACCGTTCGTAGAACGTTCAACAAGATATTAATGATGATGACGATTGATTGGGAAAAGTGTTCCAGAACGAATTTCAGCATGTTTACGACAACGAGCAATGTCAAACTGTCGCAGCGCTTTGCTAACATGACGGTGATTCTTTATTCGACATCTATAATCCTTTATTCGACATTTATAATTCTTTTTAGCTACAATGTCTTCGTAAAAACCGCGGATGATGGCATCACCTTCAACGTTTCTACACAATTACTAATTCTAGACATGGATTTGCCATTTGACGTTAATCGAAGATTCGTATATGAATCCGTCATAACTGTGCAATTTTTTCATTTGCTGTTGTCTGCTAACGCAGTGGGTTTATTAAATGCTTTCCTCATAACTTTGGTGAGTTCTGTTGCACCTGCAAAAAAATATCGTCATGATTATTATTATATTATTTATTATATTATTCTATTATTTATATTATTTATAGAAATTATTTTTTTTTATAATTAAATCATAATATCAATTGATGGACGAAATGTACAGGTACTTATTGTCTATGTTATAAAAAATAGTTGACTAGCAGTTCTACAGCTTTTCAGGTTTTAAAAGATTTTGTGCAGCATAAATTTAGTCTAGGCATTTAAATTTTTATTTGCTACTGTACATCAGTTGAGAGAAGTATATATTTTAGATATTGCATATAAGTGGACAAATCGATATTCTTCGCAAAAGTTTGATAGAAATTTTTCCAAAGGAAAAGAAGCTCAGCCCGAGTCATTTTATGATAAACAGAATAATAAAAAAACACCAGAAAATTATCAC